TCCTTTTCTTGATTTTTGCAGGAGGAGGAGGAAGGGAAGGAACGGAAGGGAAAGGGAAAGGGAAAGGGAAAGGAAAGGAGATGAAGGCACTATTATAGATTTATAACATAAAAGAGAGAATTTTCCCTTTATTAATATGTAGAAATGAAGATAATTGGAAAGAAATTATCTTTTTCTTCCTGTGATTCATTATTAAGATAATATTTACATTATAACTAAAATCACATCATGTTCTCTGTTGGTACACACCCCAACTCTGAAGAGCACTTGTGTAAGGGAAAAAATACACTATCCCAGACAGCAGATGTTGATTCTGGAATTGATTCTGCCATCTTGCTGGCAATCACAGTGGAGTGCTGTGACTTCTCTAGGCCTTAGTTGACTCAATGGCAAAATGTGAAATTTGGACTTTATATCAAACAGAATGGTCCAGATTATGCTGTGCTAACAACCAACCACTAAATCTCACTGGCTATATGTGTATTTTTTATAACATTTATAGTTGATGTTTGAACAAAAACTTGGTATCTCCTTTCTTCTAGATGTTGTGTAGGTCAACTGGAGTCATTTTTCTGCTTGGTCATCATCCTTACTTCAAGATAATACAACTACTACTAGTGTGAAATATGACTGATCACAAGGACACGGGAAAATCACCCACTGCTTCTTAAAATTTTGTCCATACTCATGTTTCATTAATTAAAGCAGTTCATGTGGCTACACCTAGTTTTAGCTGGTAGAGATGTGTAAATTCTGCCACAGGACCAGAAGGTGAAGGTGACAAAATATTTGTGTGTAGTCATAGTAACCTCCATCAACTCAATAGTCTCTACATTCTTCATATTTACTAAATTCTGTCACTATAAGATCAAAAGTCACTGTAAGATCAAATGAATGTGAGTTTTTATAACCTGTATTATTTGGTTTGAAAATTTTTTACATAAGAGAAAGATACAGAAATGTATCATACTCATATCCTTCATATTTCCATTATTAATATCAGTGAAAATTTCATATGAGAATTTGGTATGAGCCATTTCACCAGCATTTTAACAGTTAAAAGCAAAGGTTGTCTTTTTGGGGTTTTTTGTTGTGTGTGTGTCTTTGAATGTTATTAGATAACACAAAAACATAAAATGACTTAAATCATTTCATTACTAGTGGAGAATTTGCAGAATAAAAGAAAATAAATGTGTTTAGAAACTCGTAAATGTTAGGAAAGTTTTATAATTGTTAAATAGTTGAGGTCTGAAGTTAGTGGAAAAACATGGTTTGATCTCCATTAATGTGCCCTCATTCTAAATGCACCAGCTCACATGTCAGCCATAGACTCTCCATGCCTGGTTAGATTTGTCTTCTTCAGTTACCACTGGGTTACTAACGTAACCAGGCTCAGCGCCTTCTCTCCAGCATGGCTTGGCTGTCACATGTAAAAGTGATCTGGCTTGTTTAAACAGAATATTTTCTTACTGTTCTCTTTGTTATTGAATATCATAGCAGAAAGCTTTGAGTTAATAAACAGCATTTCACCACTGCCTACATGTCAAAATAGGTCATAGAACCTTCAAGAGAACATCAAATCAGGAGCTCAATAACATAACCATAGCTTGTGCCATACAATTTGGAATGTGACCACTCTGCCTTTTAGTCTCTTGCCAATATATTCTGTCTTCCATTAGTCTCTCATGTTCTTTGAGTATTGATCTCTTTTCTCAAATTTGATTTAAACCTTCACTAGTGCAGAAGCCAAGCTGTGCATTTCTTTTAGGTAAACTGCAATACCTCAAAGTTGAAAACATAGTGGATGCCCTGAAACTTTCTTTATGATGATAACTATTTAAAACACAAAGAAGAGAGAGCAATTTTATTTACTAATTTGAAAAAAAAGAAGTACTTTTGAGTACTGTTACCATTTAGATATGAGTTGTCCCCTAAAAACTCATGTGTAAGCAGTGCAAAAAATTTAGAGGTGAAATGATTGGGTTATGGAGTCTTAACCTAATTAGTGCATTAATTCCCTGATAGGAATTAACTGGGTGGTAAATGTAGGCAGGTAGGATATGACTAGAAAGGTCACAGGGGTGTGCTTTGGGGTATAAATTTTGTCCCTTGTGAGCTAGGGCTCTCTCTGCTTCCCTGTGTCATGTGCTAATCTACTTTCCTCCTTTACACTATATTCTGCTCTGATGTCCTCTCTTCCCTCCTGCAGTCAGCTGTGTCTGAACTGAAACCTCTGAAATTTTTCCTCCCTTATGTTGTTCTTGTCAGGTCTTTTGATCGCAGTGATGAAAAAGCTGATTAAAACAACTACCTACCTCATAGCCTCTACTATATGAAGTTGGTGTCAACAAGAATGAAGCTATAACTTTAAAGCATTCTTCTCAACCAATGATGATTTGCCTCTTAGGAAACAGTGGGCAATGTCTGGACACAAATTGATCACCCCAGTGGAATGGGAAGTGCTGCTGGTACGTTGTAGATGGAAGAAAACGATTGTAATAGTGAGGGCCATCTCCATAAAAAGAATTATTCAACTCCAAATGTCAATCATAGCCAGGTTGAGAGACCTGGTCTTATATAGTGAGGGAATCTTTGAGTAAAGAGCAATTTTAATACAAACTTCTTAATAGTGATTTCTTCTTTTCCCACTGTTCTGAAAGACAATAATTTCAATATGTGTACTTTGTTAAACAATGTAACAGAAATAATGACAACTTCAGATGCAGACATAAGACAAAAACTATAAAAAGAAGTTGAGAAGATTTTATTACTGAAAAGAATTTCCTAAATGGAAACAAACTCTTTTTATTTCCTAATTTCCTTAGAATAGAATTAGTATCTTCCTGACTAAAAGAAATAAAGAAGATAATAACAGGTGAGGTTAAGTTTAGAAAAGCTATATTTATACTACCATTGTATTTCTGAAATCCTGGTAAATATCAGGGCCACTCCACAGCTTGAGATTGGCTAAGACCCAAGTTCTCTTTGCTCAATAATCCTTAGTAGAAAAATAATATCCAATAATTTCATATGTGATAAAACAAGATATGATACAATATTTGTATTTCAAATAAATACACAATATTTAGTTCACTTACAGGAAAGTTTTAACCAGATAAAGATGAATAATAATATGGCAGGATTCTTGGAATTTTACAACCTGACCTTCTTGCCAGTCTTACAAAGTTTAGTTTGAAAAACCATGCTCAGTTGTTTGGTGCAAATTAGAGTTTGTTTAACAGTAAGATCTCCTGTATTGATGGGGAAGTTGTGTACAACCTAATTCTACATGATGGTGAAAATGTCAAAAAACAGCACCTTATTTATGTCTATGGTTGCAAAACTTCAATACATTGTTAATTCTTCACACCCATCAGACATTCAGAATCTTACATTAACAAAATGTAAGGATATTCAGTCACCTTCTTTTTTACACAAGAGCTGCTAAGTCTAAGAAACCAAGTTATCTTTGTGGATTGGTTGGTCTCTCTCTCTCTCTCTCTCGGAGAATACAAGTGAAGGGCACATCCTTTCTCTCTTTCTACTTTACCTCAAGTAGATTTAGCAAAGTCCTCATTCTATTGTCTTTATATTTTTTTAATGCCTTTTCCATTTTTATTCTGGGTGACTTTTTTGCTATTGTTGTTTAATTATCTATATATTTCTCTCAATTGACTAGTCCCAAGAATGAATAGATATTTACCAGTTTCAGTACTTAAATTATTTTACATTTTATTTTGAAGGTTTATGAATTCAATCAATTATTTCACATGTAATTATTGAACACTTACTATATTTCTAGCTCACATAAGGTACTAGAAATATGATAATTAACAAAACATACTGTCCCTACCCTTAAGTGTCTTATACTCTTTGGAGAAGATAGACAAGGAAATTGACAACTCAGAGTAATAAGCCCTTTTGATGGAAGAAGTGGTGTCAAAAAAGAGAGGAGACACCAATGTTGAGTTTTAAGGAAGAAACGGAGGTTTTGACATATGGGCTTGAATATAGAGAGTTAGGTCTTAGGCTACCAGTCAATGAAGAATGGTTATTCCACCTAGTGGGAATTGTACTCCAAAGTGACACAATGGGATGTGTATTTTCCAAATGTCACTTCCATGTCCATGTGATACTATAGAAAAGAAGAATTGGAAACAGGGAGGCCAACCAAAAAGGCAGTGGTAGTTGCAATAGAAGAGAGAAGAATCAAAGTAGATAAACAGAACTGTTATTAGTTGAGAACCAGGGCAGGAAAAGTAAAGCTAATGTAAAGTCTCTTACTTGGACCGTTAGTAGATGGTGCTACCTTTTCCCGAGCTGGAGAGCACCAAAGGGGCAAAAAGTTGAGGCCAGGAGCCAGAGAAAGAATAGGATGAGTTCAGTATTAGTCTCCTCTGTTGCAGTTACTGGGTGGGCATCCACATGTGGGGCCTGAGGTGGGCAGTGTGGTCTTCTTGGTCTGAATCATAAGTCATCAGCAGATGGATTTGAAAATGATATTTTTTTCCCTCAATGGAATGAATCTATTATACAGAGATTAAGCTAATCTTTCAAACATAGATCCAAAAGTAAAGGGTCTCTAGCCTAGTTCTTCATGTGTATCATCAAAAGACTTGGACATCTTTCCCCTTATCGTACAATCACATTCCTGACCACTGCCTTTGCCAGAAGATTGACTGGAAATAATATTCATGTCCTGCACTTGTATAGTCCTTCACAGTTTACTAAAATTCTTTCCCATGTAGCTCTGGACCAAGTCTCAAGTCTGTGAGCTGGCATTAGAAAAGCAGCCTAGGGCCAGGAAACCAGGATAGAACCACAGACCAGGAGTTCTAATGAGGTTGTTGCAAGTATTTATTCTGGGGTCACAGCCAGTGTTCAGAACCAGAAGTCAGAGAGTTAACCAAGCCAAGGCCCAAGATCCAAGCCAGGAGTCGGAGCCAAGGCTATGGGCAAAGCCAAGAAGCAGTCACAGGATTAGCACATCAGAACAAGCCCCAGAACGGCTGCTGAACCCATGGTCCTCCCTAAGGCCCTGTGTCCTTTGGAGGCATTCTGTGTCCACGGACTGGCATTCCCCAAAGAATGCAATCTAGGAGGTGAGAATGGGACAACTGAGAATAACCTCTGCCTTTGCAAGAACTTTTGCCTTGAAGAACACACCAAGAGTCTTATGGAGAGTGTCTTAAATCCCTTCTGCACATTCTTTAAAACAGGTAAATTTTTTTTTTTGTAAAAAAAACTAACTCTGAATATTATTTATGAATGCATTAAAATATCTGGCAGTCAAGGAAGCCTTATTTTACAACAAATTAAAGTCAATGGAAAAATATGATTTCAAATTTAATTGGATTTCTCTCCAAGAATTTTAAAAATAGAAAATGCCAAATTCTATTTTGAGTAATTTCCTATGATATCATATAACTGGTCTTCCTTTATTCACCTGATTCTAGGGAACTTCCTTTATTCACCCAGATTTCCTTCTATTTATTTTAGATTTGATGTAGCAAAAAAGAAAAAAAGAAAAAGACTAAAATCACCTAAGTAAGAAACCAGTTTAGGTGATTTTTCTCTAATTAAGAACCAGTTTACTGACCTAGTTTTCTCCAAAATAAATGTTGCAAAATAGACTTGTCTTTTTAAATATAATTTTGAGTAGATGATATATTCAAAAATAGCTCAAAAAACTTTAAAATTCCATTTAATAAGTATACTAGGAATAAGATCCCTTGGAATATGATAATTAACAAAAAATACTGCCCCCACCCTTACATGTCTTATAGTCTCTGGAGAAGATAGACAAGCAACTTAGTAATACAGAGTAATGAGGCCTTTCTTTGCTGGCAGAAGTGTTTAGTTTTGTGCCCCCGTGGTTTAGTTCCATACCACCACACATGAAAATAAACACTGTCATTGATTCCTTGCTAATTCTTCAGAATTTTACAATTTATAATCACATATAAAACTATGTTCTCATTTCTTCCTTTTCTAAGCAAAACATAGCACATTGCTTACTCTGAACCTTTCTCTTTTTTTGGTATAAGTAGAGATTGTTCACATTCTTTAGAGTTGCATAGTATTCCATTGTTGAGATGTACGTAATAATTTAACCAATCATTTAATAGAGACAATTAACATAGACATTTATGTTGTTTCCAGGTGTTTATAGCTACAAACAATATAGTCATGTCATACTTGTCTATACACCATATTGTACTTATGCAATTATATCTCAAAAATGTAAGAAATAAATTTGATGAATTAGGATGTTTTGCATTTTTAATTATAATATAGATAAAGGCCCTTCACAGTATCACATCAATTCCTATTTCCCCATGGCCTCACCAACAAACACTTTAAACAAACTTTTGACTTTTGCTACTCAGTAAGTGAATAACTCTGGTATCGTGACACTGTTTAAGTGGTATAGCTTTTATTATATAGAGCATCTGTTCATATATAAGAGACAATGGTATGTTTCCTATGCACAAACTTTGTATTTCTCTTAAATTTTTTGTTTATTTTAAATTATTGATTTCTAAAAGACCTTTATGATATCAGCCCCTTTTCTACAGCATGAATACCCAGAACGAGCTTTGTTTATCTTTAGAATTTCAAATAATTTTGGCTAGGCACAAGTTTTTGTTTTCATTTTCATTTGTCAAATTTATCAATCTGGTTTGGCTTTTATAAAACAATAAAATGAAAAATACATTAATAAGATAATCAAAATACATCTTTCTTCCAATATAGCATTACACTTAAAATCTGGATTTCACTAGATACAGGAAAAAAAAAAAAAAAAAAAAACACTATCCAATATCACCACACTGATTAGCATGGAATGAAAGGTGCTGACCAAAAGACACTGAAGAAAAGAAATGAAAATAGAAGTCAAAAAACATAATGAGGCATAACCAAAAAATGTTCAGAAATTATGTTAATGCCACTGCAGGATGAAAGAAGAGTGAGGTGAATGGAAAACGCAACTTTCCCTAGTCACAACCTTATAAAAATGTCAATTTATCTGAAGTTAATGTATACATTTTTTTTTTACAATTTTTTTTCCTGTTTTAAGAACTCATTATCATTTGGAAGTGTCCCCCAAGGGCGCATGTGTTAATGTCTTGGTCTTCACCATGTGGTGTTGTCTGGTGGCAGTAGGACCTTTAAAAAAATGGAGCTTCTGTAAACACTGGTGTGGCTACATCTCTATAGTATGCTGATTTCAGATGTTTTGCATACATATTGAGGAGTGGGATAGCTGGATCATATGGTGGTCCCATTTCTAGTTTTTTTGAGGACTCTCCATATGTGGAAGTTAGTCCAAAATAAAGAAGAAAAAAAGGGGGGGGTGAGGGGGTATTCCATTGAAATTGAAAAAATATCAGTGGAATAGAAGAAGAGGGTAAAGAGGAGGAAGGCAGAATGAGTCTGACCTAACTTTCCTATGTACACACATGAATAGACCACAATAAGTCTCACTCTTATGTACAACCCCAAGACACTAACTTAAAAAAAAAAATCTTAAATAAGTAGCAGACACATCAATAGGATGGAAGGAAGGGAACAGGGGCAGGAAGAAGGGGAGGGAAAGGGAAGTACTGGGGACTGAATGAGAGCAAATTATATTTCATGCTTTTATAATTATGTCAAAATGAATTCTAATGTTATGTATAAGTAAAAAGAATCAATACAATTTTTTTTTTATGGAGTCTCATGCAAGGAAGTTAGGTCATTGGAGTTATCTCCAGAGATATTGGGATCCCAGACACTCTCTCGCGCTTTTGGCCACCTAGCTGTCATTAGGTAAGTGGTTCTCCTCTGTCACACGCTATTGCCATGACATGCCACAGGACCAAAACAATAGGGCCAAGTAACAATGATCTGAACCATTCACCAAAATAAACCTTTCCTTCTTATAAGTCATGCATTCATCTCAGGTGTTTTGCCACGGTGCAGAAAACTAACACAGAACTAGCCAAAATAATTATAAAATCTACATGAGAAAAAAAGGACACAAGAATATCCATGAAAATCTAATACAGAAAAAGCCCTAATGTAAATGAGTTCTACAATGTTAGAACATATTATAAATCCTCAATAATTTAAACCGTATTCAATTATCACATAACTATCAACAAACTTTGTTATAAGAAATACAAAAACAAGTCTAATAAATATAGAAATTGAGTTTACAATAAAAACATCACCTCAAAGCAGTGAAGAAAATCCAACTATTCTATAAATTTGCTGGTCACATGGATACCCCTCCAAAATAAAATATTGGATTCATACTTCATGCACTCCAAGTACCATTTCATCAATACATCATTATTCCTAAAAAAATGGAAGGAGGAGGGAAGGAGAGGAAAGGGAAGAGCAGAGAAGGTGGGGAAGATAGGGAAGAAGAAAGGGAAAGAGAGAGGGAGGAGAGAAAGAAGGAAGAAAATGCATTGTAGATGAGCTCTTTCATAACTTTGAAACAGTGAAGACTTCTAACTATGAAGCAAATATACATTTTAGTATTTTTTTAAAATTGTTCTACACTATTCTAAAACTTTAAGATTTTTTTTCCTGGAATAAAATACCAGTCTGTGCCAAATCTTAAGAAGCTACTTTTCAGAAATAAATGTACAATCTATTTTCTTTCAAGTAGAGTGATATATACAAAAATATCAGAGCAACATAAACACAGAAAAGGAACCTGATTTTAAAGGGCCTCTGGTTGAGATACTGAAATAAAAATTCTGAGAGATCTTTCAAGTTAAGTATGCTAATCCCTTGTATATTTTAGAAGGAACATGGATTATAAAGATTTACAGTCAGAAGATACAGGTTCAAGTTCTCATTCTCTCCCTTACCAACCACATAACCTTAGGAAAATGACTTAATCTTTCTGAAATTTAATTTTCTAATCAACTAATGGGATTAATGAGATAATTCCTATCAATGTCACAGGGTTAGTATTGTGATCAAATAATCTAATACATCTCAATTAGACTTCATAATCTTTAAAAACTACACAAATATTCATTGCTATTTAATAAGTTATATATTTAAGCACAATAAAAATGTAACTTTTTTGGGCTGGGTTTCTGGCTCAGTGGTAGAGTGTTCGCCTAGCATGCTTGAGGCACTGGGTTTGATCCTGGGCACCACATAAAAATAAAACGAAGGTTATTGTGTCCACCTGCAAGTGGAGAACAAATATTTTAAAAATATATCTAACTTTTAAATATTTTTAATTGTAGATGGACACAGTGCCTTCATTTGTTTGTTTGTTTGTTTTTTGGGTGGTGCAGAGAATCAAACCCAGTGCCTCACACTGGTAGGCAATCGCTCTACCACTGAGCCACAACCTCAGCCTCATATTTATGTTTTAATATAAGAAATCCAGATTATCAAGTTTATGGGGACACTCTATGGAGCATGATAGCAGTCTTGGAATTTATAGAGCCGAAGTTAGAACTTATTTGCTGCTTTCTATGAAACTACATTTTACTGATTTGAACTTTATTATATAAAATAAATTGGATCACTATGCAAAAAAAATAATTATCTCAAATGGCAAATTATCATCTGCTAGGAGTCAATGTATAGAAGCAGCAGAAGGTGCTGTGAGAAGTTGAGGCAGAGACAAGTCCCTGCCACCTTTAGTGAAGCCAGTCCAAAGAATAGACTTCGCAGAGGGACGTTAGCTAAGGAAGAAACAAAGAAAGTGGCCGTCCCTGTTCTCATGTGGGACCATTACTGCTGTGCCCCAACCTCTCTATCCACAGAGACACACCAGTGGCAAGATGAAAAATGATGGCCTCTTTGCCCCTCTGGGTTTTAATAACTCAGAGAAAGGAATTTTCAGATATAACGGGTGACATACCCTGATAACAACAACAACAACAACAAAATATTTGAAATAAAGACACCAGGAGAGGAGAGGATCTTCGGTTTTGCTTTGTAATCTTAAATATACTATGCAGGCGGGTAGGTTCAAGCCAACTAGCTCCTTATAACAATATTCACATGGACTCTATATACCTAGACTAGGAAGTGACTCTCTAGAAATGACTAGGCTCACTTCTGGGCTGAAAAAGTGTACAGTTTACAATATATAGTTATATACTTTACAGCACACAGAATGTATTCTAATCCCGTTTCTGTTCACAAGAATGGAACAAACCAAATTAAAAAATCAACAACCTTTCTCCTGCCTCCA